AAATGTATTACATAATTCATTATATCCATTGCATTAAATTTGTACTCCTTTTTACACCTAATTTAAGGCGTTTATCCAAGTATTTTTTTTTAGATATACTCCTTGTTCTTTGAGTGATGTATACTATGCTATGATTGTTACCTTCAGAGAATATCAAGCAACCCTAGATTACAGACCACTCACTGATTCAGATCCTATTGAGGACCATCAGATTTGTGTGTGTGTGAGAAAGAGGCCTATTAATAAAAAAGGTAGTTGGAATTTTTTACCTTTGTGTAAATGTATGTTGAAGGCAAGTTGTTTCTCTGTCTTGAACAGAAAATACTGTAAAGCACTCTGAGAGTCCAGACCTCTGCAAAGCAACATGTAAATAACAGTAAGATGAAATTATTCTTTTAAAAATTAGAACTGGATTTAGTTGAAATTGTAATCACCTCTTTCCCCCCTGAAAAACTGCCCCAGTTTTAAGTTTCATCAAAATTCAATTTGTAACAGGAAAGAACTTTTGAGATATCTTGTTCACAAACAAACCAATACCAATGAAAACATAACTTCCATCATTGGCAGAGGTAAGCCTATTTCCCTGTGATAAGAAGTTTATAATGTTTTTTGACAAGACATTATGTATGGGACATTATTTTTATTTCAGAACTGAATAAAAAGGAGGTTGATGTGGTCACAGCTCCCAACAAGCAAAATGTTATAGTTCATGAGCCCAAACTGAAAGTAGATCTCACAAAATTCCTTGAGAACCAGAACTTTCGTTTTGACTATGTCTTTGATGAGAATGCAGACAATGAAATGGTATACAGGTCAGTTACATTTCCAAACTTGGTACTCACCTAATGTGTTTGTGAAAATGTAAGGTTATAAAAAATTAGTTCAGAAGAACATAAATTACATTCACGTCATACAGTGTATTTTTTGAGTAACTAAGTTTCATAAATCACTTGAGAAAAATGGTGGTGGTTGTGTTTGAAACACTTAGTACTTGCCATACTTTTCAAGGTATGCTTCAATAATTTAGATGTAAGGTGACTGATCAAATGCTGTACTTTTCATTGTTTTTATTGCAGGTATACAGCTAAGCCATTAGTAGAGTGCATATTTGAACAGGGTATGGCCACTTGCTTTGCATACGGCCAAACTGGCAGTGGGAAAACTCATGTAAGTTTTTAAATAATTTCTCGTGTGACATTCAATCACATATTTGTACAAAGGTTATTATGGCAGAGATTGTCTACAATTGTTGTGTACATATAGTTTATATATTGGCTTTATATATAATATTGCTCTTTATATTTTAGACAATGGGAGGAGATTTTTCTGGTAAACAGCAGGACTGTACCAAAGGAATATATGCATTTTCAGGTGAGGTGGACTCCAATGCATTTTCATAAGTCGGTGCCATATGTTAAATATTGTTTATCTTTCCTTATCACATAAATAGAATACATTTGGTAACAATTGTGTTAAAACATCCATAGCATCAGCCTGAATCTGTGCAATATTTTGTTCCATTTAAATAGTAAATATAGCTAATATAGACAGACCCTGACAGATTGTTTTGTATCGCAATTTTTCTCTACAGCTCGTGATGTTTTCAAACTCCATCATGGAAAGTACAAGAAGCTGGACCTACTGGTGTCTTGCAGTTTCTTTGAAATTTATAGTGGCAAGGTGAGAAACAAATCTGTTTATTGTTACACCTGTTGCATTTTCTTATTTTGTTTCCATTAAAATATCTATGCACATGAATTACTTCTTCTGTTAAATGTTCTTTGTTAAAATCTACTCCTGCACGTGTTGGCATTACTTTTGAAGTGTATACACATTTGTACTTAACATTACATGTACCAATTGTTTTTTTCAGGTGTTTGACTTGCTCAATAAAAAACAGAAGCTACGTGTGTTGGAAGATGGCAAGCAGCAGGTGCAGGTGGTAGGACTCAAGGAAGAGTTAGTTCATTCTGTGGATGAAGTCTTGAAACTTATACAGTCAGGAAATGTAGTCAGGTAGGGAAAGGATTCTTGGTATCTTCCTCTTTACAGAAGATGGGGCATAATTTTGTTATCTTTCTTTATATTTTGTACAAAATGCTTGTAGGTCAAAACTTACATATTTTTTCTAATTACTTTTATTAAAAATGACATTACTTATATGAAATCTATTTTTTCTTTTTTTTTTTTTTTTTGGTTATGTAAAATTTAATTTTGTGGTCCATAATATTTCAGAACATCTGGGCAGACGTCTGCCAACAACCATTCCTCCAGGTCACATGCAGTATTTCAGATAGTTTTGAGGAAAAAGTAAGTGGTCTGTAATTGATATCTTATTGGGGAGGGGGGTGTTTCTTTAGGTTAAAGATGTGATATAATAAGTTGTTTTTCCAAGTAAAAAATAATTGAAAGTAGCTGAAAACATTGTGTTAATAATTTATGTTTACTTTGGCAAAGAACCCAATTTTACTGGAAGTATGTAATTATTTACGTTTATATTTTTTTTCAATCCACAACTCTTTTAATTACAGAGGAACCAAAAAGCTTCATGGGAAATTTTCCTTGATTGATTTAGCAGGTATGTTATTTATTTATTGAAGGGAAAGTTAGAGTTGATAAATAGATTGCAGAAAGCATGTATTTTCAATGAACAATCTGTGAAGTAAATGTAACCATTTAAAAACTAAGAGTTGATAAGCAGCCAATTTATGAGCAGTTAACCTCCTTTGGGCAAGATGGTCCTAATTTTAGGATTTCACCACAGTCTACTGGTCCCAACAAGCCACTGGGGTCTAAGAAAGCAGAGTAACCAGTTACTGAACACATTTACATTCTACTGGCATTTGGTGCTGTGTAAATGGTGCCCACTGACTACTATCCAAGAAATTTGGAAACGTGAAAAATCATTGCTGCACATGACAGTATTTTCAATAACCACCTTTATTTAGGTAATGAGCGAGGAGCCGATACCATGAGTTCAGACAGACAAACTCGCATGGAAGGAGCAGAAATCAACAAAAGCTTGCTAGCCTTGAAGGAATGTATCCGGGCCCTGGGGCGCAAGGGGGCCCACTTGCCATTTAGAGCCAGTAAACTTACTCAGGTTCTCAGGGATTCCTTTATTGGAGGGAAGTCAAGAACATGCATGGTAAGAGCTTGTTAGGATAAGTGGTGACACTTTGCTACTATAGAGATGAAAGAAAATTTTAATGACATCTTGTTTAACCAACATAGTCTTTTTTTATGTATAAAGATAAAGGCAATTTGGAAAAAAAAAATCAATGAAATGAATTTATCCTAAATTAATTATCTTCCCTCAGCATCCTGACAAAGGTGATTTGAATGAGAGATGAAAGGAATTAAATTAAACTGAATGAATTCTCTCCTCCCCCCCAGATTGCCATGATTTCCCCTGCCATGTCTTGCTGTGAACACTCCCTGAACACCCTGAGGTATGCAGACAGAGTGAAGGAGCTGGGACCAGGGGGCCCTGTGGAGGGGAGGGCGGCTGATGAGAACATTCCACCCCCTGAAGCACAGAACAATACCCCACTGTCACCCCAGAACAGTGATCTAGTGCTGCTAAGAACTGGAAATGTGAGCACAAACAAACAAACAAACAAACAAACAAATTAATTAATTAATTAATTAATTAATTAATTTAAAAATACAGAATATGAATCATAGCTGATTTAGCATAGCTTTTCACCTTCTTACTCTAATTATCATTATCCCAATTAAATTTTGTGGAACATTTTTCTTTGGTGTAAGCTGAGTGCTGCCTTTCTCATATTTTCACTAAACCATTTTTACAGACCTGATATGCAATGCACTGCATTCTATATATCAGGAGATAAAGGTTTTTCTTCAAAGAAATAGCAGAACAGTAGTAATAGTAAATAGAGATTATGGCTAGATTATTATTGCAGCATATGGAATAAACTTATCTTTCGCCTGGGCTCGGTAAAACTTTTTTCTTTTCCATTTCCCAGGAAGCTGAGATATCAGATGAGCTGCTGACGTTCCATGAAGTGATCAACCACATGCAAGAGATAGAAGAGGAGGTGATAGATGATCACAAAGCTCTATGTGAAGTGAGTGCCACGCTTGGAGGTTTTGTTTACTGTGATTTTCTTCATGAAGCTAATATTTAATTAAAGTAGCACATATGTACTCCAAAGTTTTGGATGTGTACATATTCATTAAGGTATTGCTTTGTTGTGTGTACCATCTTATAACTAGAAAGAGATGTTTGTCATTCAACAGGAGAAAGAAATGTTGTGCAATAGCAGTAAGATACACACGACCATTTAAGTCATGATGATATAATGTATCTCTAATTTCAGGGTTTGGGTAAATGGTTGAATGAAGACAAGAAACTGCTGAAGATGACAGATGACGTAGATTATGATGTTGAAGGTGAGTGTTAAGCTATTGGTATTATTAAAGGTTATAAGGAAAAGAAGAAGTTTGTTGCATTTTGTAAGTAAAACGGGTCGTTTTCACCCCCGTTCTTTACTGTTCTTGTGATTAGAAGCAGCTCACACATGGTACAGAGTAAACACATGCCAAATGGTTTAACAGACTGATCCATTTATGAAGAGTTCTTTTTTAGCTTACTTTTTAGATGCTTTCATTGGCAAGTGAGGGAGAACACCATAAACGGACAAACAGTGCATATGCTCTTTATATGACTATTCTTGTTAAAACTCTCTGGAGCTGAAGTGTGAAAAAACATGATTTGCTGTAAAAATATCTTGTTACATTTTTTAAGGTTATGCAAGGAACTTGGACAGTTTACTTGCCAAGAGGATTGATGCATTGTCAAGATTGAGGGGTAAGACATCCACAGACAGTTTGAGGTTTAGGACAAAATGTGCATTTGTTTTGTAATCAAATTTGTTCTCGTTTCTACACAGTAATTTTTTGCTTCAAGAGAGTTTTCATTTCATCAGGTATCTTTGAAACATGAAGTGACCCAGTTTACTGTTAACCAAACATGGGCACTTAGAATAATGCTGTTGAAATAACCTTTCAACTACTTACCTTTAAATTCATGAAGCGTGAAATGCATGCCTTAACTTACTACTTTGCCCTTTTTCCAGACAAAGTAGTAAATTTCCGCTTAGAGCTCCAAGAAGAGGAAAATTTGAGCAAAAACATGAAGGGAAGAAGGCCCCCAAACAAGTGAATATGTGGATGGCCACGTTGTCCGGTTACCACAAAACCTGCATGAGGGGACTTTTTGAATGGAAAACCTACAATCTGCTCATCCAACCATCTTAGATTACAGCATAATAGAAGCTTCCCTTGTTTTTCCAGTGTAATGTATGTGCCGTGTTGAATGC